CCTCGGCGGGGGAGAGAGAAAACACCGAAGGTGAGAAATCGACCCCAGCAAGGGGATGGTGCTGCGGGCGCGGGGGCGAGCGGCTGGTTTGGTGCGCTCAGACCAACAGCCAAACGTTCCGAGGGTGCCCCGTGTTGTTGCAAAGTGCTGTACCGGTGCTCGTCGCCTCATGCCCCGTACCAACGCTCACCACCCCACGCCCATCCCATGGCCACGGGTTCACCGCGAGCTCTGCTCCTGCCCCGACCCTCCCATCCCGCTGAGGATGGGCCTCTGTCCTGCCCGTGCGGCGGGAAGGAGGAGGTTTGGGCACACCGCAGCAGCATCCTTTCTTCTTCCCGACTGCCAGTCTCCCTCTCTCCCTCCCTTCAGCAGTTCTCAGATTCACATTATTTTTTCTTTTTTTAAGTTTATTTTACTCCTGTTAACCGCAAGCTAAAATAGCATGGGTAATTCCCCGGGCACTGGAGCTAGCGGCACCTGATTTCTTGGGTTTGGACTTAAACTCTTCATGCCTTTGAGCTGTACAAAAGAGCTCTCTCGTGTGTGGATTCTCTAGTGTCTGACAAAGGTTCAGTTTAGGCTGTTGGGTTTTCTTTACTGGGAATGCTTGAAGGGTTGGACCTCCTCCCTTTCCAGGAGGTCCATTTTTATGAACATGGTCCTCTCTGAGACTTCTGAAGTTCTGTAAAATTTTACAGAATCGTTATGGTTGGAAGAGACCTCAAAGATCATGAAGTCCAACTGTATGCCTGATGCCACCATGCCCACTAAACCCACTAAACCATGTCTCGAAGCGCCACATCTAAACGTTTTTTGAACACCTCCAGGGATGGTGACTCCACCACCTCCCTGGGGAGCCTGTTCCAATGCCTAACGACTCTAACAGTGAAGAAGTTCTTCCTAATATCCAACCTGAACCTCTCCTGGTGCAACTTCAGACCGTTTCCTCTTGTCCCATCGCTAGTTACCGGGGAGAAGAGACCGACATTTGGTTAAAAGGACCTAACCAGCACCACGTTTCCCAGGGAGAGGCTGGGCAAGCGGCACGTTCCTGCAGAGATGGGACTGGCTCTCCACCCCCTCCCGGCTCCGCACTGCAAACCTCATCCAGCTCCCTCTGGTCAGAGCAGAACCACCCCGACCCAAGACCACGCAGCCCAAATGTCCTGAGACACCGATTTCAGGACCCAAAACCACCTTTACTCCTCGGAGGGGTGGGTCGCACATGCCGGCATCCCTCCCCATGTGGGTTTTTGCATTTAAAACCAGCGGAACGACACAAAAAATAATCAAGTCATCCTTGGAAACACAGGCGGCGTGGGTCTCCTCGCCCCGCAACGTCAGCTTGATGCCTCTGCCCCATTAGCTGGGCAGGAGAACCGCAACGCCGTTATGGGGTTTAAGCACAGCCAAGGGTAGGAGCACTCTGCAAACCCCCAAAAGTTGCGGTTGTTTTTACGCTCCCCGTTCCCCCCTTGCCCTTCTCCAGCACCTAGCCACCCTCACCGATGTTTGAGCTCACCTTCCTCCCGACCCTCATCTCTCCTCCTTGCGTGGATGGCTGCAAACACGCTTCGGACAACACCAGCACGCTGGGATCCCAAAACCGGATAAATTTACTAGGCAGGAATATGACGGGGTTTCTTTAAACCTCGTCCAAAAAATGCTCTTGCCATTAAATCCCTATGAGAAAAGCAGGACTGGCCAAGTGATCCCTCCTCGCCCACAGCTTCCCAGGAGCAGAAGAAATGCAAAATGCAAACCACCTAAAACCAGTAAGGAAACTGGAGAGCATCCTGGGCGGCGCTGGGATCATTTGAAGCCAGCAGCTCTACTTTGTGCTTGGGGTCAGCCTGGATGCGCGGCTGAACTGTGGCACCGGTGATGGTCCCAGGTCCATCAAAAACCTTTGCTCTTGGCTATTCTGCTTCTGGTCCTGCCACAAACACCGAAAGCGCTTGTTTTCCTCCATTCCAAAAAATTTTGTTTCATGGCACTGGGGAACACTCCGGTTCTGCGCTTGTTCCTTCCGAACTCACATCCCGGCTGTCCCAATGCTCCCACTTATCTCCAAACCCCTTTCTTTTTGAGAAAAAAGAACTTGCACAAGACTGCAATAAACCAGCCTTAGCAGAATGAACCCGAAGGCTGATGTTGTTGTTAAACCTGAGCTAAAAAATATCTCTTCTTGCCATAACCCTAACGTTTTCTAGGATCACCCGAAATCCAGCATCACCTCGGAAGCGAGCAAACACGGGGTTCACAGCACAGCCCTACCCGGCTTTCTGACCGCAGCCCCCCCCCGGCTCTGCACCCATCTTCAAGCCTTTTTTTGCCAGTTGACGGCTTTTTGGTGAAACTCCAGCGCTGATGTAATTAGCAAAAGGCAGCAGGCAGGGCCAGAGCCGGTTGCCTCATGTCAGGGATATGATGCACAGCTGGGATGCGGCGGGTTCGGAGCCAGGGAGACGCGGCGGGAATCGGTGGGGTAGGTGCCGACCACACACGCAAGCAAACTTACTGCTGCTTTCCCTTCCCAGCCAACGCCTGGAGTTTTATCGCTGAAGCTTGGCCAACCCTCCTCCCTCCCAAAACGCAGCTCTGAACCTGGCAGGATCTGTCCCTCCCTGTTGGGAGACATCGGTCCCACTCCAGATGCTCTTGCCAGACCCCCGGCCGCTGCATCCATCCCTCCCCTCCCGAAACCCCACGTACCTCCTCTGCTGCCGATAGCCAGACAGCTCCAGGAGGGATTTCCGAGGGAAAGACATGGAATTTAAAAAAGGTAACTGCTAAAATATGTCAGACTTCCTTTTTTAGTGGAGTTATATAGTTAAAAATAAAAAAAAAAAAAAAAAGAGAGAAAAATAGGAAACATATGAATATTTGTCTGGACAAAGCGAGCGGGGATGTGTACGTGGGCGTGCGTGTAAAGAAAAGCAGCTGGAGCAGGTGGTGGCATGAGTTGAGCCTCATCGGCGAGTCCAGAGGGAAACCCTGGTCTCTCTTGAGGGTTTACTCATCTCAGGCGGAGAAAATGCTCCGGCAGCGTCCCCTGTGCCCCAGAGGGATGGCTGCCAACCCGCCCTGGGCAGAGCAGGGCTTCCCCAAAGCTGCCCCTCCGAGCCCCCCGACCCACCGCTCCTGCTGCCGCCCGGCTCCCCGTTTGCTGCCGGGGTGTGAGCGCAGCTCCCTGCGGGGTTCGATGCCTGGTCCCTGCCGGGGGGTGACATTTGTCACCTGGACGCGGCTCTAGAAAACGCTGCCGGGGTGGGGAAAAAGCTGGGGTTTGGAAAGCAGAGCTGCTCCGTGGCACCCTGCATCCTATCTTCCTTCTCGGCTCCGCTCCTGGCACCGACAGCCTCCGCAGGAGGTCACCCGGGGTGAGCCCCGTCACCTGTCCGGGTTCCCCACGAAGGTCACCCACGCAGGAGACAAAGCTCCTCCCGAAACACCCCAGACCTCCAGGCAAGCGGTGTGGGTTACGGGGACATCCACGTGCCCACGACAGCTAACTTTAGACACCCAACATCTCCGTGCCGCCGGCGGAGAGGAGCGGAGGTCTCCAGAGGACAATCTGGAGGCTAATTAGTGCCTGACTTGATTGCTCCGAACCACCCTCCGGAGGAGACGCTCTCTCCCGGTGCTGATTACGCCGGAGCTGACGCAGACGGTGGCCTTGGGACACAGGCTGGCACCGGTGGGGTGATGCTGCGTCCCGGGAGCTGCTGGAAAGCGAGTCCTCCTGCAGCTCCATGTCTTCCTGGCTTTGCTCTCCAGCCCCAGGCCTCTGCTCCCATCACCCTTGTCCCTTTCTTGGCACCTCTGCTCCCCCAGCGATGCCCCGCTTGGCCGACCAGAAAGTCCAGGCATCATTTCCAGGCTCTGATGCTTTCCCAAGAGGGGAGCAAGTGGGAACACAACACACTCTCCCCTCCAGCCCCTCCAGCTATTTTCCACTGCCCCCGTCTGCGTAAAGCACCACGAAGACCATACCCATGGCTGGAAACCCCTTTGGAGGCAAATCCGAACAGCGGGAGCCACCGCCCCATATTGCACGGGGCCAAATGTCGGCTGACACCGCGGGCGCTGCCAGCAAAATGAGCTGAAACCCCTGTCGTGATCGACAGAGGCATCCAGGTCAAAAAAACATGATGAAGCACTTGCATTTTTCCCGGAATCCAACTATTTCACCCCAATTCGAGATGCCCTGTGCTTGGCCCTGCAGAGATGCATGGACCAAACCTCCGCACACGCGCGGTTCGGGTACCGCCTTCAGCTGCAGGGTACGACATGGCATGGGTACAAAATGCTGCGGGCCACCGGGGCCGCCAGCCATCCCTCCCTGCCACCGGGCAGGAGCGTGCCGGAGCCCTGCGGCACAGCCTCGGCCATCCCAAGCCATCAGCCGGCAAAGGCGGATCTACCGGGAAGAGAAACAGATGCCTCCGTTGCAAAATCCCAAGACCACATGCTGGTAGCAATGCCAAGGGATTGCCGGGTTTGTCTGATAAAAACCGCCTGCACGTTCATCCCGGGATCTTTTCCTTCCTCCAGCTGCCGATCGGACTGTCACAAGTCAGATGAATTTCCCAGCTCCAGGTCCTGGCAATTAAGCGAGCGTGGGAGGGGAGCAACACTTCCATACACCACGTTGGTGCTACCGCCCGCTCCAGCCCTGTTCTGTCAGAATTACTATTAATACCCCCCAAAAATATTTGTGTTAGAAACCAAAAGGTTTACATAAACAGACACTTTGGAAACAGTTTCTAAGGGATGAGAACAACAGTTTTAGATGATCCGTCACGACTCACCTCGTGGATTAGACATTTGTCTATGAGCTGTAAATAGGAACTTATATTCTCTTCGTCGGGTCGAGAAACTAAAAGTTGTGTGCATACTGGAAAAAAAAAAACAGAGAAGAGAAGAGAAATGGGCATGGGGACACTGAGCTGGGGTCCAGGGGGGTCCAACGAATGCCCTGGATCTCCCGTTCCCCTTCTCCCACGGGCAGGTCTTCTCAGCAGCGAGAAAAAACGCCCTTCCCCAATTCCTGTCGTGCTGTCCTATATTTAGGGCCAGATTTTGTTCTCCGCTATGATGGTGTAAATCCAGAGTAACACTGCTGGAGTCACCAAAATTAGACCTGAGCAAACCAGGGGCACAGGATTATTCCCTATTCCTAGGCAAGAGCCAGCACTGGGAGAGCTCCTGCTCCTGTGGCCAAAATCTGACCCTGCTGCAAACAGATTCCCACTTTTCCCGATGGATTTTAACCTCTTTTGGAATTAATGCCAGAAAAACAAGTGGAAATGAATTTGGGGAGCAATGAGTCTCTCCTGTCATAACCCCCGGGCAGTGATGCCTTGTGGTCCAGGACACCTCGTCCTGGCAAGGCTTGTGCCGTACACACAGCTTCGTGCGTGACGGAGGCATTCGTCACGGGCTGAATTCATCAGCCGGTTTAAAATGGGGCCAGAAACCCTCGTTCGTCTGTGCGCGCAGTCAATTCGCTGGCGAGAAATTCTGCACAGAGTTTTTATATAGCAAACGTCTCCTCTATTTTTTGCAAAAAAGGTCTGAAATAGGGACAGAGCTGATATTTTTTTCGTGGCATCCCAATGACTTTCTTTCTGTTCCCGGTCTCCTGTGTGAGTCTGCGGACGAGACTCCCCTCTTCCCCAGGGCGATCTCCCTCCACGCAGCCAGCGCCGACACCTCAAGTCCCACCGATGGGGGTTAGGACACATCCAAGCTCATACAAATTTGCTCGAGGAGCCCTGTATGTGGCACAGGAGGTCGGTCCCTACCTCCCATCGCTCCCGTCTACCTCCCAGTTTGTTAATCCTGATGTGCACCCCACGTCAGGCACGGAACGGCATTTTTGGATGTCCTGCATCAAGTGGAGCTTAAAAAAGGGTTTGGACCCAGCTGGTTTGCACTCAAGATGGTTCACATCCAACCCGTGCACCCCTGCTACCCCCTCCCCAAGCAGAGCAAGTCCGAGGGATGCTGCTGGGAACACCTTTGGACCGATGGGATGCTCGGAACGGGAAGGGAGAGGATGCTATCCACCCCTGACCCGGGGCAGGCAGCCCGTCCCATCACTGCTCCTCCCAAAAATCGCTGCTCACCTCCCCACCCACGCTCTTACCTCTTACCACTGGACGATGGGGTCACAAAAAAAACTCATCACCCCTAGGACGGTGGCTTGCAGGAGCTCGGGGAAAGGCTCCTGCCAGCACCGGTACCGCACGTACCCTGCCCCGAAGCTCTCCCTAGCGAGGAAGCCCGTACCAAGTGACAGCCGCTCACCTTTCCCCATCACTCTGGTGAACTGTCCGGGCAGGTCACCTTCGGGCAAAGGGGCCCCCCCTGACTCTCCCTCGCATCCCGGTAAATGGTGCTGCTGCATCCCTCCCGTGGCAGAGTCCTTGCAGTCAGAGCCTTGGCTGTCTGAGCCGATCAGGGAGGAAGGGTGATGCGAGTCCGCGTCCCGGCTGTGCTCCTCCGTGCTTGAGTTTTGGGAAGAGTAGGCTTTGATGGGGGTGAGGATCATTTGGTGTAGTTCCTGCAGTGGGACACGCAAGTTGCCACCTTCCAGGATGTCCTACGGATTCAAGTGGAGAGAAAAGGGTTTGTCTCTGCAGGGACAACAGGACATCAGCTATGAACCAGATCCCTCCTGTTACCCCCCAGAAAATCCTCCGCAAAGCTCCTGCTCCACGCCACAGCCGACAGCCGTGTTTCATTCACCCAGTCTTTTCCTTAGACCAGGGGAGCGTGGAGCTGCCGCAGGGACGGTGTCCGATGATCCATGGATGTGTTCGGACCTGAATCTCCAGAGACAAAAGTGCCCCATCAACCACTGGGACCCAAACCCAGCAACAATCCAGCTTCAGCGTTTCCAAATTTCCACCAGGAAGACGGCAACTCCGTGAGAGAGACTGATCCAGTGGGATTTCAATGCCCAGACCAGTGAGTATCTTGCTCCTTCCCCAGCAATCCCACAATCGTGACATTTCAGCTCTATTTAATTGGAATTCTACTTTTTAACATGAGTTTGTCTCCAGTTTCCAGCGCTGCCTTCAAGTCTGGCTCTCCATTAAGTGCTCTGCCCCATAGAGCTTGTCAGAGCATCCTCATGCCCTGGGACCACACTGGGATGCAGGAACCCATCTTGTAGCAGCAAAGTGGGGACGACCCCATCCACACTGGGATGGGCTGGGGGAGCAGATGCAGAGGGGAAAGGGAGGGTTTCAAGGGGAGAAGGTTGGGTTGTGGTCAGACACAGAAGGTGAAACCACGAGGCTGCAGGTGAACTTTTATCCCTATAACAAAAACGTTCAGCTTGGAGATCCTGGGGGAGGTCCACCCAGGAAGGAGACAATTTGGGTACACCCCCAGCCTTATTCTCAGTCACAGTGTGGATCAAGAACTCTTTTCTACGGTCAGATCCTCATCCCACCGATGGGAAATAATTGCATTTTGTTTTTAACGTAGCCTGGACCAAAAGAGCTCATTGCAGGCTCCTGCACGGTCTGGCTCGCGGGAGGCCGCTTGGAAAGAGGCAGCTTTTGGAGTGAGCGCTGGCTGTGCCTCGGGAAGAGACACAAAGTGGGCAGGCAGGCTGCGTGCCAG